CATGTTTGTTGCCAAGTTGATTTTCCCAATTCACTTGCATTCTTGCAGGTGATCTAAGGCAATGTTTTTCTTTTGAACTCTCTGCGTTTGTTATAATTTTGTTGCTATTTTTTTTATGATACCAATTTCTTCAGATGTAATTCATGGTTTATTGTTATCTTGAAGGTTCCCATAGCAAAGAACTTCTGCTATAAGAGAAATATACTACTTGATTTTTAAGAGGACTGTATCTTGAACATATAGGAGAAGTATATGTTATTTGTGAATATGGGAATTGTAGATTGAGAAGAGCTTAAAATAGTGTAGATGTTTGTTACATGGCTCATATTAAAAGATTGGTTGTGAAGGGTTATTCTCATTATTCTAAAAATTATTATAATAATTATATTGATTGATGGTTGCAGTCTTCATATTATGAATACTCTCCTTGGTTTATTCGTCATGTTGATCAATCTTTGGAATCCTTGCATAATAATTAATATTATAATGCATATTCCATTAATAGATCTTGTAGATTTGAGCATTAGGATGACCGATCCACACAATCTCCATATTGTTTATGTTCCAATATCTTAATGCACTAAGCATAATGATTGTTGATCTTCTTGATTTCCAATATCAAAAACATTCTACTCCTATGTCTACTTCTATTATGGTTGAAAAGGTTTGAAGTGCGGGTGATTAGGTTCAATGTGGTTGTGGGGATTTTGATGCATGATTCTCGATGAAGTTGAAAAGCATTTCTTCAAGGGGGGGTGCTATCGTGTGTGAGGAGACACATGAGAGTTTTGGTTTAGTTTTATATTTAGATAGTTGAAAATATGATGTAGAAATACAAAACGGTTAACCCTTACTCGTGCGCTTAATCTTTTGAGTTGAAAGTTTTTCCATTGATGCATCTGGCCAAATTTTTACATTCCATTTTTATTCATCCTCCTTAAACAAATGATAATATCTTTCCCCATAATGGTAGTAATTAATAATCTCATGCCTTATTTGTGGAATATGATATAATTATTCACTGCAATCACGATCATCCATGCTCCACAGAGTCAGCCATAAGTTGATTCCCATCTATTTTGCGGAATAATAATTGTGATGTTAGATGAGAGTAAGGGAATTATTCCATCATATCTTTGTTGTGTTTCATTTAGTCATATGAATGGAATTTAAATTATAAAGCTGAATCTTCTATATGATTAATAATGCAATGGACATTTTGCCCAAGATGTTACATTATACATTCTAAGATGCCTTGTATTGATCATTGTGGTTGAATGATGCGTCATAATATTGTTTGTTTGTTTTAGCCATGCATTCATTTTGTTTAGACATTTTAATTATGTTTCTTTTGTCAAATATGCAACGAGGACCCATCAAATCTTGCTTTGCTAGTCCATGATATTTTTAGTATATATGAAGGACTCACTTTATAGAAGGGTAGCTTAGGTGATGTGGAAGCTGAGGTGGTGTGCTTGTAACTTGATTGAATTGAGGTGGTGATCTCTCTCTGACATCTAAAGGCTTTCTTTCTCTTCAAACCTGCTGCCATCTGCTTGCTGTTTGACAGCAGAAACCTGCTGTTTTGCCGCAATCGGCAGCTGGAGCTGTCCAGCTGCCAGTTGCACCGGGTTTCAGCTGCCTCATCCCGCCTCCTTTACCTATCATACTACTATCCAAACCGATCACATGCTTTCCACACCATCTAGGAACCATAAATCAGTGTCATTAAATCTGCATGAAAAAAATACTTCTATTATGTAATTATTTTGAATCTATTTCTTAATGCCTCCGAGTATTCTCTAACCAGACTGCCTGCTAGGACACCCTCTCATTATCTTCCTCTTACCTCTTCCAAGTAGTATTCTATTTGAATAATTCTTCAGTCACTTGCTGCATCTTGCATCTCTGCAACAACTTCTCACTCGCAAACCTTTGACCAAACTTCTATTTTTACCCTATTTGCTCTCCCCACTGAGCACATTTTTGCCAATCTGCATCAATCATGGTGGTCATCTATGTCTCGCATGGCTTACTGCTTCTTTCACATTTGATTGATATTATTATTTGCCTTTACTGCTGACTTAACACCAGTTGCATTTCATTGCACACTCACTTACCATTTAGTACTTATGTTGTCAAGCGTACCCCTTTGCTTTGATCTACCAAGCACTTGTACGACTTTAAATTGCCAAACAACTTCCACTGGACCACACCACATTACTTGTATCACCCGCTCACTTTTGTGTCTATTCCTATGCATTTGTTGCTTGCTTTCTACCTCTATATCCATGAGATTCACCAAACCCCTACATATGCCTTTTTCCCTTGCGATCTGTTACTTGCACTATGCTATCCATCAACCGATAGGGTCTCACTGTTAGTCCCTTCTTTTTAACCATATGCTTCTTGTTCTGTATTGCTCATGACATATATAATCACATAATCATGGCAAAACATCACCTCTACTACACCACCTGGAGCCGTTTCCATCCCTCCACTTTCCATTTATGTTCTCCTTGCCCTCTCGTTGCGTTCTTCTCCGATTGATGCCATTTCTTAATCGTTGATGCCCACATGGCATAGTATCTTGCCGGTTTTAGTATTCCGTAACAAACGCATGAACCACAATCCACCTTGATACATCATGTTGCCACTTCATTTGGATATGTCATTGCTCCACAAACAGCCCTAGCGCATATGCACAACAATTGCTCACTCATATTGCTCTGTAGCCTTTATCTTCTCCTTTGTACCGATTGAGTACAACCCTTCCATGGCTAGGCTACATGTATGTCAGCGCTCGTTTCATAACCCTGATGGGCCCTCATCGCCTCTCCTTATCTTCTCCCACATGTGAAACTAACAACCTAATGGCCCCAAACTCATTGTTCATCCACAAGCCATGTTTGTCATCCATTCCTACTTCTGTTGTTGTCTTCCCAATTACATGTATCCCTACGAGTGATCTATGACAATCATCTTCTTTACGGGTGGTTTGCAATTTTTATCTTCTAGGTTTCTTTCTGATCAAACCAACTTCAAGTTAAAAAAGTTTGGTTTATTATTAACTTAGATAGTTTCATGCCAAAGAATTTCTCCAACAAGAGGAAGATAGTGCTTAGTTTTTAAGAGGATTTCCCGTTAACTTATAAATGGAGCAAGCACATACCAATTTGAATGTGCTTATTATATGTCATAAAGATCTTGCAGTACCATATAGAAGTTCATTACATGGATCTATAAAAAGATTAATTACAATGGAATTATCTTTTTATTCTAAAAATATAAAAATATCTCCACGGTCAATTGAGGATGCATATGAATATAATTGCTGTTATTTATATAAGTATATTGTAATAGAGGATGATGATCAGCTGTCAATTAGTCATTCATCAATTTATTGAGAAAATGCCTTGTTATGAGGGGATTGTTGTATTGGTATCTATCCATCGTTAATGATGTATTTGTTTTAGATAGTGTTAATGATTTTTTATTTTTCTTGTACTTGATGCGATTGTTTGATATACTGAACATTTTTGATGTATTTGAGCAGGTTGAGCTTGTTCTGATATAATACTGTTTTTAAGAAGTTTTCTATCAATGTAGTTGTTCCCTAGGCTCATAGATGAGAGAAATTATTCCATATGGACACCGCATGCAAAGATGCATGCGGTGTCTGATCTCCACCGCCGATCACCGCAATCAATTTTTTTTTTTTTTTAAAGTTGAAAGTGAAACCCACTGAAATACATATTGTGATAATCGACAGTGGAGATCGGACACCGCATGCATATCCATATGAAATAATTTTCCCATAGATGAAGATGCAAGTTGTTGATTTGCTTCTTATACTGTTTCCCGCAGTTTTACTTGTTGATTTTATTTTGTGAAATTTATGTACACCCCACACAATTCTTAGGTATTTACATATTTAACACAAAGTTGATATTTACATTTATAAAACAATGTCGTAAAACTTTGTATGAAAAGTTATATTCTGCTTGTAAAAATTTAGGAAATTTTGTATTTTTGTGAGATGTAAATATATGAGAATTGTGTCCTATGTATGTAAATGCCCCTTTTGTTTTTCTCTTCCATCATATTGTCATTAGGTGCTCGTAAAGAATGGCAAACAATGGAGTTATTTCGATTTTCCACTGGTTGTTGAGATTGTTATGCAAGATGATACTCATTTTTCTATATTATTGCATGTTTTCTCACTCTTATAGGTAAACTTTATACAACTACCCCTATCACAACCATATTGTCATGGGATTTTTGTCCGAACTATTGACTTGGTTCATTATGTATATTGATGTCCCGAGCCATAGCCCATAGGTCCTTTTTCACCGTTGCCTGATGTTCCTACTTTTGGTATCGGTGCACACGATACTAGTGCTCTTTATAACCACCACAAATGCTGTCTTTTGATTTTTTTTTATAAGAAGAATTTCTTTTGGCTAGATGAAGTGGTGTAGGTTCCTCGCGAAAGAAAGGTGTAGGATAATCCTGATTATCATGTATTAGCCACGCATCAATTTAATTTTATGCATATTTTAGTCATGTTTCTCATGTCAAATGTGCAAAAAGAACACACTAGATCTTGGTTTAGTAGTTTGAGATATTTTTGGTATATATTAAGGGTTTTAATTTGTGGTATGTAAAAAAAGTATATTGATGAATGAATAATGAATCTACATCCTTCTCCTCTTATCCACTGGTTTGGATACACCCTTGATCTATTCTGTATCTCCCCATAACTCACCTATGGCGATCTCCATTACCTCATGTTCTATTAGATTTGGTCACTTCTTTAATTTCTAGTTCCAGATTTAATTTTTATTTTATCTTCCTTTGTTTTCCCTCTTAGTTAAAAACATCAACTGGGGTGTTTTCTACTTTCCCAATTCAATGTTTTCTCTTTAGTACCTTATTTTGACAGAACCCACCTTGTGCTAGAGAAATGATGCATCTTTTTTATAATTTTCTTATTTTAGGTGAAGATTTCTTCCTATCTTGTCAAAGGAAAAATGTTAGAATTTCTAATGACTGGTCAGGAAATGGATGGGTTAGAGTTGATGCAAAGCCAGACATACTCTCGCAGATATCTTCGGTTAGCCCAGTAGCGAAGCCAGCTGCGAACGGTGTGCTGGCCAAGGGTGCAGAGTCTGGCTGCTCGGCAATGTCGGACCGTCAAGCCGTTGCTACGAAAGCTAATTCGATCGAAGCAGATAAGCAAACAGAAGGAAACGAAGAAGATGATCGAGTGGAAGGCAGCTCGAGAGATAATACTAACGGGTCATCGGACTGTGTCAAGTCTTTGGGTACAAGAAAACGGTGCAGGGATGATACTAATGCCGAAATTTATGGAGCTGAGGTAGACTTAGAAGGAGATGATAAGACAAGCAATTGAGTTATTTGATCCAGTAAAGTTTCCAAGCTGTACATATCTTACATATAGAGTATTGTATGGAAACTAGAGCAAATTTCCAGGGTCAGCTAACTGGGTTTTTGTTGAGGGACCTTGGTTTTCTGCTCCCTGTTATCTTTTTTTTTTTTTTAAATTTTTTTAAGCTTCTACATTAAAAACTTGTTCAGATAACCCATATTCTAGTGGCTTTTTCACTGGTTCACCTCTGATTTTGTTCTGCGCTATGAAAATTTTGGAAGATTTACATACGTGCAACTTAATTCCTATGTATTTACATATCTAACACCTAAATTTTATTTTTTTTATACATGCTGCCTTACATGTTGGTATTTTTGATGTGTTATGAAAGATTTGGGTGATATAAATGTGAAAAGTAAGTTATAGGTGTTAGATATGTAAATATATAACAATTGGGTTGTGTGTATGTAAATGCCCCCAAAATGTGTTCCTTGGCTGTTGTTGTCTGGACCATGGGCTTCCTATTTTTTGTTCATTATGGATGGTTCTGTAAAATGATTTGAATCAAAACAGTTTTGGTAAGTTAAAAGAAAGAACGATTATTTCTTAAAAAACTCAAAATATTTAAAAACTATTTTCAGTGTTTTTAAGAATATATAACATGTTATGTATGACTCTCAATTGATTAATTAAAGGTAATGACATACTTGTGATTTCCTTGTGAGCTTCTATGATCTACTTTGGGAGGCCTCATGAGGCTTGTAGGAAATTAAGAGAGGTTACTACAAGGGAAGAAGATAGACTTGTAGAGGGGCTACAAGAAGGAAGATAGAAATCAGACCAAGAAGAGGAAGGAAATCAATCCAATAAGAAGAAGAAAGTGAGAGGTTTCAAGAATTGAGGGAGGTGTCTTTGATCTTGTATCGAGGTAGTTTTGAGGGTGAGAGATTAAGATGATTGGTCATTCCTCAATGTAAAAGGAAGCCTTGTAATTCTTCTTTGCTTTAGTGGATGATAGTTGATTCCCTCCGTGGATGTAGGTCTATGGACCGAACCACATAATTTCTTGTGTTGCATTTGTTTTTCCCCTATTTTTCTCTTGTATTGCTTGCTGTGTTTTTTTATTTCTTGGCTACAATAGGCATTATACAGCAGTCCAGGGAATTCCTTAGAAGCTGGTGTTTCATTCGACAATCCTTGGCTTACGACAAAAGCACTGTAGCAACACTTGGCTTACCGCAGCCTGCAGTTGTTCTTTGGCTGTCCAAATCGAAGCAGGCGGGTAGGCTTCTCTGGCTACAACCACAAGGAGTTCGGTACATGCTTTTCTTGGCTGCAGGATCTTCGACATTCCAAGTTCTTGGACTGAAGGCCTTCAAATCTCTTAGAAGAACAACCTACGAGGAGCAAGCAGGGATTCGACCTGCAGGAATTCTTTGAAGCAGCGAGGTGTTCGGGTAGTTGTGCAGCCCGGTTCTTTCCAACCTGAAAGAGGTCAGCAGTAAGAAAGAACGAGATTCTTGCTGTTGGTAACCCATTCAGTTAAAGCAAGGCCCGCAGGTGTTTGCACAGCGGCTTTGCAGTATAGTTCTTAGATAATTTCAGTTGTCGGTGGTGCTGGGAGTTCCTTGGAATTTTGTAGGTGTTTGGTGGACGAGTTCTACAACAAGTTTACAACAATTGACACCGTCTGTGGGAATTCCATCAACGATAATGGCAACCGCCAAGTTCGATATCGAGAAATTCACCGGGAAGAACGACTTCGGCCTGTGGAGAGTGAAGATGAAAGCTTTGCTGGTGCAGCAAGACGTTGTAGAAGCCTTGCAAGGCCTGGTGACATTGCCGTCCGACATGACCGAGAAAAAAAAGAACGGGATTCTAGATAGGGCTCATAGTTTGATAATCTTGAGTCTTGGCGATAAAGTGCTGAGAGAAGTTTCAAAGGAGACAACGACTCAAATGCTTTGGGCCAAACTCGAACTACTCTATATGACGAAATCTTTAGCGAATATGATCTTCTTGAAGCAACGCATGTACTCGTTCAAGATGCATGAAGAAAAGTCCATCTCAGAGCAAATCGATGAGTTCAACAAGATCATGGATGATCTTGAAAACATCGACGTCAAGATGGATGACGAGGACAAGACACTACTGTGCTGAAATCCATTCCTAAGAGCTACGAGTATTTCAAAGATGTGATGCTCTATGGAAGGGTGTAACAATTTCTCTGGAAGAGTGGAAGAGGTTCAATAGAAGAGGTTCAAGCGCTGATTAGAGCCAAAAAACTCCAAAGAAAACATGAGATGGACAAATAAATCATCGGAGACAGTCTTACTGTTATAGAAAGATCAGACAAGAAATATTCAAGAAACGGTCAGAGCAGATCGAGATCAAGAAAGGAGGACAGAAATCAGTCATCAAAAGGATCTTTCAAGTGTTATCATTGTCACAAGGAATGTCACTTCAAGAGGAACTGTCCTTACAGGAAGAATAAATATCAAGAAAATCCTAAAGATCCTGGAGAAGCAAGCATATCCTCAGACGACTATGATTCAGCTGAAGCATTTGTGATCACCGAATCAGAATCCAACAAGGAGTGGATCCTCGACTCGGGGTGCTCTTTTCGGGGACTCGGGGTGCTCTTTCCACATGTGTCCTCATAAGGACTGGTTCGAGACACTACAACTGTCAAATGGTGGATCCGTACTACTTGGAGATAACAAGGATTGCAGGGTGGTTGACAATGGAACAATCAGAATTGCAGGGTGGTCGACAGTGAAACAATCAGAATAAAAATGTTCGATGGAGCCGAAAGAATATTGCAACATGTCAGGTATGTACCAGAGCTCAAAAGAAATCTGATTTCTTTAGGTATGTTGGAGACAAGCGGATACTCTTTTAAGGAAGGAAATGACCATATCAGAGTAACTAAAGGTTCTCGTATCGTCGTGAAAGGAGTAAGGAAAAAAGGGACAATATTCTCTAATCGGAATAACTGTGATTGCCAAGTTCAGGAACTGTCTGGACTTAGCAGACTCAACCAAGGGCTAAGGGCCCCTCTGGGCAAGGTGGAGGGAATCTCTATTATAAAGCATCGTAATTGAGAGTCAATGAGGAGAATTGTTATATATCTCTCAATTAATTAATTAAAGGCAATAAGATACTTGTGATTTCCTTGTGAGCTTCTATGGTTTACTTGGGGGGGCCTCATCTATAAATAGATGAGGGAGCCTTGTAGAAAATTAAGAGAGGCTATTACAAGGGAAGAAGATAGACCTGTAAAGGGGAGAAAAAGGCTACAAGAAGGAAGATAGAAATCAGACCAAGAAGACTAAGAAGAGGAAGGAAATCAGTCTAAGAAGAAGAAGAAAGGGAGAGACTTCAATAATTGAGGGAGGAGTCTTTGATCTTGTATCAAGGTAGTTTTGAGGGTGAGAGATCAAGAGGATTGATCATTCCTCAATGTAAAAAGAAGCATTGTAATTCTTCTTTGCTTTAGTGGATTGATAGTTGATTCCCTCCGTAGATGTAGGTTTATGGACCGAACCACGTAATCTCTTGTGTTCTTGTGTTGCATTTGTTTTTCCCTTGTTTTTCTCTTGTATTGCTTGCTGTGTTTTTCATTTCTTGGCTACAGTAGCCATTATACATCAGTCCAGGGAATTCCTTAGAAGCTGGTGTTTCATTTGGCAATCCTTGGATTACGGCAAAAGCACTGTAGCAACATTTTCTTACCGCAGCCTGCAGGTGTTCTTTGGCTGTCCAAATGGGGCTGTCCAAATGGAAGCGGGCGGGTAGGCTTCTCTGGCTACAACCACAAGGAGTTCGTTACATGCTTTTCTTGGCTGCAGGATCTTCGACAGTCCAAGTTCTTGGACTGAAGGCATTCAGCTCTCTTGGAAGAACAACCTACGAGGAGCAAGCAGGGATTCAACTTGCAGGAATTCTTTGAAGCAGCAAGGTGTTCGGGTAGTTGTGCAGCCCAGTTCTTTCCAACCTGAAAGAGGTCAGCAGTCAGAAAGAACGGGATTCTTGCTGTTGGTAATCCATTCAGTTAAAGCAAGGCTCACAGGTGTTTGGGTAGCGGCTTTGCAGTATAGTTCTTAGATAATTTCAGGTGTCGGTGGTGTTGGGAGTTCCTTGGAATTTTGTAGTTGTTTGGCGGAGCGAGTTCTACAACAAGTTTACAACATAACATGAGGAGATACCAATATTTTTATGTTAGAAAAATAGGTGGATATCAACTTATGGTTGACTCTCTTAGAAAAAAAAAAAAGACATGATAGATTTTTATTTACCACCATTATGGGGTAGAAAGAGTCATTATCATTTGTTAAGGAGGATGAATCCGATCGGGATCGGGAGGCACAAATTTTGCTAGATGCATCAACGGACAAACTTGTCTTCAACTCAAAAGATTAAGCATGCAAGTTTTGGTTAACTGTTTTGTATTTCTAATTCATATTTTCAACTATCTAAATATAAAACTAAACAAATACTCTCATGTGTCTCCTTTAACATGATAACACTTAACCAACAAGTGCTTTTCTAACTTCAAATTCATTCATCAAGAGTTTTTTCAACCACATTGAAGCTAATCACCCACTCTTAAAACTTTTTTCAACCATGATAGAACTATACATAAAAGTAGATTGTTGTTTATATTGAAGTTGATCTTTTTAGGCCAGAAAAACCTTTAAAAGGGAGAAAACCACGGTGTCTGACCCAACCAAAAATGCTTGACATGCATTAGAGAAATTAGAATTATAAAGTTGATAATCATAAAGGTAAAATAATAGTTTTAATATTTATAATTGGGCAACAACAAATATGATTCTTGGTTGTAATAGGTGTATTCAGTCAAAAATGTCATAGTTGATTACTACAAAGTCAATAATTGACTATAAAGACTATAACCAGTGGTTGTAATAACAACAATTGACCACAAAAGTTATAGTGGGAAGCTGAACAATAGTAGTTTGTCAAAAAAACTATAGTCAGTGGTGGCAAGTGCAGTGGTCGACCACAATGATTGTAGTTGAAATCTATAGTAGTAGTTGATCACCTTGCCCTAGTCGCCTCATAGTTTTTTCCATTTATGTAACTTTCAGGCAGCCATCCATCCTAGGAGTGCTTGAGGATGGGCATAGTTAACTTTAGCGTTTTTAATGAAATTCCACTATTACACCAAAAAAAGCCTTAATGTTTAAAAGTTTGGCTTCAATATACTTAAGTGGTTTCACAATCTTTGACACCTTCATCAGTGCTCTATAAGCAGTCCACCAGCATATGAGATTCTAGTGGTTGGCCGTACATATTCAAGAGGTGGCTCCGACTACGTAACACTTTATTCCATCAAGGGTTCAAGAGGTGGATCCCATGGCGTAATACTTTGCTTTATATGACATTTAGTTCCTATCTTCTAACTGGTGTAATGCTCCGATACCATTTGTGCCTCACCCATCAAGATATTGTCTGTTTTAGCCTAAGGGCCTCACTGTTTTGCCCCATTGGTGTAACTTCCCAATAGGTCACTCGTCCTAAGAGTGCTCCACAGTGAGCATACTTAACTTTAGAGTTTCTAATGAAATTCCACTGTTACACTAAAAGTCATCTTGATGTTTAAGGGTTCAGCTTTAATCTAGTTAAGGGGTTTTACACATTGACTTTAATTGGGAGCTACATCGACATCAGTTGTCCACACAGACTGTAGTTGTAATTTATAGTAGTTGGTGGCTATATAGTTCGTGGTAAGTGATTGCAATAACATCAATTAGCGATAGAGGCCATAGTCAGTGGTTCAATCCCTTCTATTAGAAGGAGGTTATATTTTTAGGCTAGACATTACATTTGTCTTTATACAACTTAAAAAAATATAGGTGTTGGAAGCAATCATCGTATTCTAGCTACATCAATCATTATTAGTGGTCCCTGGAGTAAAAGGTCAGCGGAGGCAAGCTGTGACGGTTTGAGTTGTTGGACGGTGGGCGGCAGACAGTGGTAGATGGTGTTTGGTTACTACGGAGGCCAGAAGTTATTGCGGGACCTGCAATGTTGTTTACAAATAGAGAGCACTGATGATAAGAGGTCATCAACGACAAGTAGTGATGATCGATTGTGGTCGGCAGCTATGAAGGCCGAATATTATCATCATGTCTTAAATGTGAGTACGTGACCGTATTTAGAATCCGACATTTGAAAACATGTATTGTCAGTGGCAAGAGAAGCTCCTTGAGAAGAAGTTAAAGCTGATGTTGATCAACAGTGGCTGACGGGTAATGTTTGATGGTTAGTCGACAACTACAAAAACCAACGATCAATGCATAACAATTTTTGGAATTTCTTTTCTTCTCTCTCTCTTAAGTGAATAGAGGGAGTACTTATAGCTTTTGAGATAGAGATATTTTGATCTTTTACCGAATAACATCTCCCAACCACTTGATCGAAAGACCTGCATTGATTTTTCTTGATTATAAGATTTTTTTTTAATGTATGTTTGGAGTGTCTTAAATGCCTTAAAATTGAGTGATTTTAAGTTTGTTTGATTCCTCTAATTGAGACGCTTGATTTGAATATAAATATGTCAAATTTGCAATTCATTTGATTATTAATTTGATCATCCAAATCTGTCAAATATAATTCAGTTGCTTGATTGGATTCAGATTGACCCAACTTTGACATAGTTGGATTCATTTTGTTGAGTGTCTAGATTTATTAAAAATGTATTAAAATTAAAAATGTAAATGATATTGAATTTTAATTTAGAATATTTATTATTAAAAAAATGCAAATAGAATGTTAAATTATTTCGCGATAATCTATATATTATTGAACTGAAATTTCGGTATCAGGCGAATAAAAATCGGCTAAAATGGGAGTAATCAACCAAGCCGTTTGAGGTAACGCTGGGCCTCCACAAATTTCGTAACGCCATCCATCCCATCTTGCGCTCTCTCAGAAGAAACACACCGACCCCCTGCGAAATCAGCACCGTCCACGCTATCGATCCGCGTACCTTAATCCGACGACAGAGAGAGCACGTGCTGCGAAAAGAGCCGCCAAAGTAATTCCTTCGGTCTGAAGTACATCCGGTTCGTGATCGATGAGCGGTTCGAACCGGAGCCAAGAGAGAGAAAGACAAGAGTATGTCCTCGGGACCTCGTGAGCCTTTCTCTCTCTTCATCGTGAGGTTTCGTGCGAAGGAGAAAGAAGCTGCGGGAATTTGTTATCTCCTTCAATTCTCTTTTGGTAATTCTATGATTTTTTTCCCCCTTAATTTCAATTTGTCATTCTTGCTCTAGGGTTAGGGTTTGTATCTCTCCCCCTTTTATGTTTTCTTTATTCATCTTCAGTTGACTGAATTTGCGGCGCATCTTCTCAGGAGGGAGATTGAGGATCAGAAATATTGCGCTGATAGCTGAGGTTGTATCGTGGATGGAAGAAGCATGGGAGAGGGCCATAGAGGCCAAGCTCGAGGGGTTGGCGACCCCGTTTTCGGAACTTCGAGTGCTGAATCTAGATGGAGCTGTGAAATCTCTCCATGGATGCCTCCCACCCGCGGGGCTTCTTGAGAGATTTCCAGGCCTGGAGCATCTCTCTATTGCGAACGTCGGTGCATACTCCTTGGAGAGATTCCCCCGATTACGGAACCTCCAGAGGCTTATCCTTTCGGATAATCGTATCGGCGGTGGGCTCGAGAGCTTGGTGGATGCTGGGCTGCGATCGCTTCGCGATCTTGATCTATCCAATAACCGGATCCAGCTAATCGAGGATCTGGCCCCACTTGCTTCTCTACATCTCGTCTCCGTCGATCTCTACGAATGCCCGGTCACTAGGGTTAAGGATTATCGATCCAAGGTGTTCTCGTTGATCCCGACTTTGAAGTACCTGGACAAGCTTGATGCGAATGGGAACGAGAGGCCGGAGACTGATGAGGAGGAGGAAGAGGAGGAGGATGAGGAGGAGGAATATGACGATGACGAGGAAGATTCCGGGAGTGGTGAGGTTGATGGCGGTGATCAGAATGGGAAGCTGACCAGTGGTGCTGAAAATTCCGCTGATGGGGATGAGGGAATTGTTGATGCTGATGACGATGAAGGGAGTGATGCTGATGAGGAGGAGATTGAGACTAATGGGAGAAGAACAGGCAGTGGATCATCCGGAGGATCTGGCCATCACATATCTAATGAAGTCAGAGTGGCTACAAGTGCTACTGTGTATGCAGAAGGAGATGAGCATGATGGGGATGGATATGATGATGTTGAAGACGAGGATGAGGAAGATGATGATGATGATCTGGGAGAGGGGGTCGATGAGGAGGAAGGTGATTATGAAGATGATGTGGCTGAGATGCATAACGTTTTGGATAGTGATGAGGAGGATGAAGATGGGGTTGATGAAGTGGAGATTGATGAAGAGGAAATTGATGAAGATGGGGATGCTGAGGAGGAGGAGGAGGTGGATGAGGATGATGATGAGTTGGGTGTCGGGGATGAGGAGGATCCTGAGCCTGCAAGCACGGGTAGGCATACTAGTACTGAGGGAGAGATTGATGGACATGATCATGGGGAGGAGGATGAAAATGGGGAGATTGGACAAGAGGATGAGCAGGGAGTAGAGGATAGAGATGCTGAGGAAGAAGATTATGGTGAAAGTGAAGATGAGGTAATTTCTCAATTTAATGTTCTATGCTACTTCTCTCTTCTTTATTGTATCCACAATACACATTCTAGCAGTTATAGGAATCTATGCTGCTGTACCTTTATTACATTACAGTTGTTATCTATAATTAGGTTATTTCTAGCTTATCTTTTTAAAATAAGATTATGCTATCACAGTGGTGGTTTGGTCAAACATATCAACCCCATGATTCTAAATTAGCGATTTTAGTTTGTTGCTTTAAAATTTTCTTGGAGGATTATTATACATACCACTCAACTCCTATGTATTTACATTCATATCAACCTTATGCTTCTAAATTTGCAAACTTTAGTTTGTTGCTTCAAATTTTTTTTTTTTTTTGGAATATTTACATATCATTCAATTTCTATGTATTGACATATCTCACACTTATAGTTCAATTTTTACATACATCTTAGCTAAGCTTCAGAAGGTGTATTTCACTTTTTAAAAGTTAAAATGGTAGTATTTTTGAAGTGATATGAAAAATTTTGGGTGATATAAAATGTCAGCAAAAAAATAAAAATAAATAAATAGGTGCTTGATATGTAAATTCATAGAATTTGGTGGTTTATATGTAATTGCCATTGTTTTGTTTAATCCATGTGGGAATCAATCTTGTTTTTTGAAGTAATGGATTTACTTTTCAAAGCTTGAACACTTTAAAGGGTATTTGTAAACGTCAGTAAGCAATATACCATTTTGGATTTATTAGTGATTAAATTGTTTGGTTTATCATGGATCTAACTATTTTGGCCTAATTTTTTATGTTTGGAGAAAAAAATTCAGAACAAAATTTAGTCATGATGGGTTTTTTTGGCCATGGGATTTCTTTTGTTATAGGCCAACTTTTTGTGGGCTTTGCAAGCAATAAAGCATGCTTCCTTTTTAGATAGCTGAACTATTTATGTTAAGTTTTCTATCAGAGTTTATTGTATTTTTAATGATAGAACCTCAATATTTTGTGGCATATTGTTTATGTGTCATATTTTGCAATTTTTTTATGCTACATTTAAACTTTACTCAAAGAAAATAGTAAATTTAAATGAATTTGTGTCAATATTTCATTTTTATGATCTCATGGTTCCTTGGAACTCATTTCTATATTGTAAAAAATGAGTTCTTTATGGAATCTTACAAGCTTTTATGATGCTGTGATTCATGATTGTATGGAAACGATAATACTTTTTAGTTCTTTCTCATATCTTTCCATGTTTATACATGAGCATCTTTTTGTTAGTCCATATAATTGATTCACCATCCTTATTTTCAGAAAGATTTACATATATTCCACTGAATTCCAATTTTTTTTACATTTCTAACATCTAAACATCAATTTTTAACATACAACCCACCTTACCTCTGCATGAAAAGTTGTTTTTCACTTTTAGAAGTTAAAACATGGTATTTTTGATGTGAGATTTGGGTGGTGTAAATGCAGAAAATAAAGTTTCGGTGTTAGATATGTAAATGTATAGAAATTAGGTGGTATGCATGTAAATGACCCTTATTTTTATTAGTTGTTTTTCAAACTGCATGTGTATGTTGTTATAGAATTATCCGTCAATCTCATTAAGATATTTACATTTATTTCTAGTCTGTAATCTTGAGAAATAAATTTAAACTAAATGCACACCCATCATGAGCAGCTTTTCCTATTCTGTAGGAGATATTTAAGATTTCCTTATGGATTTCTTATTCCATTTGGAGAAAGCATCTTATGTTTCTAATATTTTCCCCACCCTTAATTTTTTTTATTAAATGCTGGAGTTTTTTTGCTCTATTTTTCCGCTGGTGAGTGATTTTTTCATGAATTTAACAATTGAAATTCTTTTAATAAAAATTTTTAGTGATGTTAGTATTATTTTTCATGTTTTGGTAGGATGATCTTGATGGCGACTACCTGGTCCAGCCCATCGGTCAGTCAAGCTGGCTCAATCGCAATGCTGGTAACGAAGATGATGAGATCGACTATGAAGATGAGAACCGCACAAGCAATGGTACACTGAATCAGGCTTCATCTTCTTCAGAAGCCAACAAGAGAAAAAGAGACGAAGATGGCCGCCTTGACAACGATAAAACCGACGAACCGACGCCGTCGAAGCGAGGTTGATGATTATCTATGTTGACCATGTAAATTTTATATTCGTCCCTGTCTTTGTTTCTTATCTTCTCTCATAGATTGATGTAATTTCAGAGAACTTGATAGGTTCAAAAAGAAGGTTTGGGAGGGAAGGGCATGGTAGCCGTTTATAGCCGTTTGCCTCAAAATTTAAAAGTTTGTTGGTGACTTCTGTCAGCACATGTTCGAATCTCCTCTATTTGCCCGTTAGCTTTCCCTTTTTTTTTTTTTTTTGAAATGTCAGTTATACATGTACTTATTGCATTGCTGCTCTAAATTCACTCAACTGCTCGTTATTTTTAAAATTACAAGTGATTTTGGGCCTTTGGGCTGTCTTGGGCTGTCGGTGAATTTTTCTGTTGGAGCCTTGCTATGGAGGAGCTGCCACGCACATGATACAATTCTCAACATTTCTCTTGTTTTTTCGCATTTTTTGCTATCGTTTTCAGCAGTTGGAGATGAGACATAAGCAGATTGTTGAGCATAAAGTATGAGTTGAAATAATTTCATTATTTAGAGTTTTTTTTGGATTAAATTATGTCAATTAATTAAAATTTATGTAGATTAAATTGCATGCAATGTAGACCGTCTTTTGTCCATCAAAATATTGAGGTTAATAATTTCTAAATAATTTCTTTTTTTATCCCAATTTTACAGAAAGAAATTAAATAAAGGTAAAAAAAAAAGGTTAAGTTCTTAATCTATTTTGTTGTAAATTATTTTTTTTAAAACTATATTGGTATTTTGAAAAGTTGAATAATAGTAATGTTAATGATTAGAGATATTTGCATGCATATAAATACTTATTTAATTGTATATCTAAGCTCAATTTTTATTTTTATATTTAACACTCTTTTTGTATCTTAAATTTATACAATAAAATAACTTAAAAGTGATAAATTTTAATGTGATTTAAAAGACTAGGATGCAAATTCAGATGTCTGATGGAAGAAACGTAGCATTATGTTGTACATAAATGCTGTTGCACCCGAAGTCCAAGTCATGGCTGGCTCCTTAAAGAGCGGTGCTCAAAGAGGCCCATGGGCCATGTCTCGCAGCCCGCAATTTGCTTAACTTAAATACTTGCGTAAATTAATTAATTGATCGCGTCCTACTATTTTTATTCACCGCTCATCCCGTAAAGCTCTGATAACCCACAATCCATTTGCAGGAACTCAGATAAGGCTCGGCTTCCCAATATCATAAAGCTCAGAGAAAAGAGCGACAGAAGTCACTCATGGCTTCTGTGTCTGCTCGGTGGATCTCTACCATTTCAACTCCTCAGTTCCGATCCACAAGCCCAACCAGGCGGCGCTCCGCGGCCGCAATCACCTGCAAAGCCAAGGACGCTGGCGGCGGGAGCACTGAGACGTTAGAGATCGCGGTGGCAGCAGGTGCCCTCATCGCCAACCCAGTGATTGGAATCTCCCTCTATGTTCTGAAGACCACCGGCTGCGGGCTTCCTCCCGGGCCAGGGGGGGCGCTAGGTGCATTGGAGGGGGTGAGCTACCTGGTGGTGGCGGGCATAGTGATCTGGTCGCTTTATACAAAAGTTCAGACGAGTTCCGGATTGCCCAGCGGGCCGTTCGGGCTGCTCGGAGCGGCGGAAGGGCTGTCGTATCTCTCCGCAGTTGCAATCATAGTTGTGTTTGGTCTGCAGTTTTTGGAGAGGGGATACATTCCGGGACCTCTGCCTTCTGATCAGTGCTTTGGCTGAGAGAAGGATATCTGTTTACAGTGTTATTGATGGTGAATCTTGCAACAGAGGAAGGCGCTGAGGATGAGCTCTAAAATGGTAATTTTTATTAAGGGATAAATTATCTTTAAGAATCACATGTTGTCTCTCTTGGTTGGAATTAATGAATCCCTGAAGAAACTAATAGCATTATGGAGTGGGTGGCTGATAACCTATGATTTCAAGAATATCTAGAATTTGGACTTTAGTTTGAATCTATTATTTTTGAAGAAAAAAGACTTGCTTTTTAACGCTCATGAGATTTATATACATTTACTTGCAAATTTTTTTTCTTAGAGACAGTTCACGACTTGTTTAGCTCTATTAAGGCTACATTTGGGGCAACTTTCCATCTGTGGTGTGTGGTTTGAACCTTTCGAGCCCCTAGGGCTTTCTTATCTTGGGTTGCTGACTGCCGAGTTCTTCCTTTTTTTCTTTCTTATTCTTCCTTGCTGGCTTCCAAGCTCTTTGTTCCTTTTTCAAGGTCTTCTTTGTTTTCTTTCACATTAATTGCCGAGGTTTGGAGTAAGCTATTTTGTACATGAATTGGATGATATTTCTTCTTTCATTTGTACTGTGAATCGTCCCTTCTTATTATGATTTGTTTCTTTTGCCTTTGTTGAGAGGTATTATGTTGATGTTAAGTTCTTATGTGGTGTTCATTATTTTACGTTTGGGAGTTCAGTTTTTTTTAAGGGTGTGTATTTTGCATTAATATCAAATCAAAAGTTACAAAAAAGAGCTATAAATTTGGTAGCCCAGTTGATACAACAGGAGGGCACAAGTTATATTTTGTGGGTGATTTTTTTTTTTCTTTGTAGAGGAAAAAAAATTGGAAGTTTGGGTGGGGAGGGGGTTTTTTCTAAACTAATGCATACCATAACAAATGAACCTCTGCTATTGTCCCTATTTGAATACTATGCAAGCCTTGAACGCTTATTTTTGGTGGTTGAATGGTTGAAGGTGATCTAGATTTTCTTACTTAGATTGGAGTATTTTGGTGATGTCATGGTTTTAATGTTCCATGTTTATTCCCCTGCAAATTTCAGTGATATCATGATTTGAATGCTTGATATTTATTTTGGAGTTTTTTAGTAATATGGTAGTTTGAATACTTAATGTCTCTTCTGGAGTATTTCATCAATCAACGTGATGGTTTGAAAACAATATTAAAATTTAAATACATACCTCTCAAGTCTCATGTAGTAACACATCTAACATCTAAAGTTTGATATTTATAGTTTATAATGCATTGGTTTCTTAAACCTAAAGTTTTAATTGCTTTGTAAAAATATGAGTGGTTAGGTGTGATATATGCAAATACATTAGAATCGTGTGCTATGTATGTAAATGCCCACAATGAAATAAAGCTATTTTGACAAATAAAGCTATTTTGACATTTGGAAAGCCAGTGCAAAATTTAGCTTGTCATTAACATGATCATAAGTGCAGTGGTTGATTCTTTTTTGCTTACGTTGAGCCTGCTATGGTGTTGATTTGCTTCATTATATAATTGACTATCAGTTGTTGGTGTTTACGATCCTTTGTCATACTAATCCTGGGAGCTAGTCTCCATTTGTATTCTCATTTGGCAATGGATGGCAGACTATCCTGCAACTGGCAAAACCGAGGTTTTATGTTTTCGGTTTGTGGCTATAATGTTTATATTTTTGCTCCACAAATCTACTATGAAAGTTATAGATTTATTGAGAGGTTTGATGGAGAAGTACAAAGAGGGTAAGGAGGATCTATATATGATTTTTATTAATTTAGAAAAAGCTTATGTTAATGTTCCAAGAGAGGTTGATATGATTTATATTTAAGCATTAAAGATATGTATACTAGAGTTGTTACTTGTGTTTGAACATAAGAATAATTGACCAAGTATTTTCTTATTTCAGTTGGATTACTTTAGGGATTGCCTTTTAGTCAATATCTTTTTGCTTTAGTTATGAATGTTCTTACCAAGGATGTACGTTGGTGTATGCTTTTCGCTGATGATATTTTTTTCATGGATAAGACTAGATAAAGTATCTGGGAAAAACTTGAATTATGGAGGTCCACATTAGTCTAAAGACATTTGTTAGAGTATATTTAAAGCTGAATAAATGGAATGTAATTTTAATAGTAGAAGATTTAATGGCAGAGTTTGCTTGATGATTTTGTCGCTCACCATCACCAATAATGCATCATGATGCGCACTATCACTGTTTGCCATCACCTCTAAACTTAGTACATGATGTTGACATTTGTGTGCCACCGCGTCTAAGATTAATGCATATTATTAATGTTCACCATCTCATTAGGCCAATGCATGTCATCAACGCTAATGTGGATATCTACCTATCACCTCATTTCCTATCATGCCGATAGTGTCGACTAATGTGATCACCAATAAAAGTTAAATCATAAGTATATCAAAATTTTACTAGGATTTTTAGCCATCTAGCTCCTTTAATTTCTTGTTGGAAGATCAAATTCATTTTATTTAATTATATAATTATTTTTGAGTTGAATACGAACAAATATTTATTTGTGTTGTACTCATTTATAAATCAAGTAAAAAAAAAAAAAATTATTTGTATTGAACTCATTTGCTTAACGACCGAATCAAACACGCCTTACAAAAATTATTTGCTAGCTTTTTTGACAGAGTTAATTGAATATGCATGATTTTTAGAATTGATTTCTATTTATATCATCCAAATTAAAAATCATAAAATTTATGCCTATTTTATAATAAAAAAAATAATAAAAAAAATCAAAATGAATATATCTAATTTAGAATGTGTCTAAAATACCCATAACGTTATTCTAAAAACATCCCAAGTCGAAGATGCCGCATGTTCCATTGGATATTCCTTCAATAATCTGATCATTTGTCATTTTTTAAGAAGATTTACATGCATGTCCCTTAATTTCTATGTATTTACATATCTAGCAACTAATTGTCAATTTTTTGGTGTATTATAGCTTAATTATAAATAAAAATGTGTTTTTTTTTATCATAGATTTGGGCGGCACAAATACAAAATGATAAAAATTATAAATACATGGGAATTGGGTGGTATTTATGTAAATGCACCTAGGGATATTTTCAAAATATTAATATTTTCAATTTAACAACTGATTTTACCAATAAACTTTGATATTTGACTTAGAATTTGTGTAAAACGGATGAAATAGACTCGCTGATTCGTAAATAAGAAGTTTCGGATGGCCTTTTATGTAATTTGCCCCCTTTTTAAACACGAAGATTACTATAAATCTCCCACTGCACTGCAAATCTTCTCTGCAAGCGAGAACCAAATTCCCACCGACTTTCTTCTAACTCATTTCCAATACCACAAGGATCCTCAACATGACGGTTTCTTCCGGCGACGCCGACTGGGTCCACGATGCCGATTGGGACCTCACCGCTGCCGATGCCATCATCGTCGACGGCGACTGGGTTCTCGCCGACGGCCCCTGCACCCCTCCCCAACATCATCTCATCGGCTTCTTCCTCGTCAACGGCGGGCGACACATCTACGTTCCATTACTCCACTCCTATGAAGCCTCCCGTGCTGCTGATCTTATCGCTTCCGTCCCCATCTCCGCTTCCATCTGCGCCTCAACACAAGGTATCGTCCTTGCTCGAGGTCCCTGGTCGTCCTATTACGTCTCCACACCAATCTCCCCTAAATGGACTCGAATCCCTAATCCCATCTACTCCCATCCGATTTCCATTCCGATAGCCCTCGTTGCCGGAGGCGATGGAGATGGATTTCTCATCATCTGCGCCGTTCCGTCTGCAGATGGGCCAATAGGGTTTTACCGCTTCGATATCTACGAATCCTGTTCTGGAAAATGGAGGATCGGTCCCGATCGCTTCCCGGCGGGTGAGATCCTTCCATCCTCCGGTGTGTCTTGCGGTCGTGAGGTCTATTTCCGGACGGGAACGCCATCGGTGGTTGCTTATGATGTTGCAACCGGCGTCGCGAGGGTTTTGCCTCCACCGCCGCGGTGCTGGGGTTCACAGATGCAATGTGAGCTTGCGGAGGCAAATGGCCGGCTCTGGTGCGTTTGCGTGAGGGGGAGGGTGGTGGAGGTGTACCAACGGGGGGAGAAAGATCAGTGGACTTTGGTAGAGCAGTCGGAGGCGATTGTTTGCAGTGACCCACCGCGGCCGCTGCGGGTGCAAAGTGATAGTGTTGGTGTTGGGGTTGTGCTGTGGGTAAATGGAAAGCTTGGTCGGTGGGATTTGGAGCGCGGATGCGCCACCGGTTTGTGGTTTGGGGATGCAGCTCCGCCGCCAGGAAACGGCGTGGATTACGTGCCGTATTGTGCGAAGCTGCATCTCCGGCGATGATGCCGCCTGTGAATGATTGGGGGTTGATATACTCTCGGCAGTGGAGGAGGCAGGGGATTGATGTAAATAGGTGATGAGGTACGTACGATTCATTCAAGATTAGGATCCAAGTTGTTGGAATTCATGCTCTGATTCATCATTGTTCTAAAAAACAATTTGTTGATAGCTCCTTTCGAAATCGTTCTGTACCTTTTACTCTGGCTCCCATGCTGCTCATCTGCTAGTGGTGATTCTTAATTAGTGGGGAAATTAGCTCATTCTATTGAAAAATTATTCCATGCGGATCGGCGTCGATCCGGACCGTAAATCACATGATTTACGGTCCTGATGTATTTCGGTGGGCCCCACCTAAAATTTTTTATTTTTTTTTAAAAAAACGGAAATAATCCTGACCGTAGATCACCGTGATCTACGGCCAGGATCGAACACCGCATGCAGAGATGCATGCGGTGTCCGCACGCAATAATCTCTCCATTCTATTTCGTGATCAATAAATATTATTGGATTAAATTAAAATTAAAATATCGGATTGATTTTGATAAATCACTTCGCAACCAAAATTTAAATTATAACTTTGATTATGGGTTTGGTAAATTTTGCAGCACGATCTGGCGAACAGGGCTACTTTTTGTTAATGCAGTTGACTAAATTTTTATGGCATGATTGGTTTTATGGAATTGAAAGAAATAAAAGTATTTTATACTTATAATTTTTTTTTAATTTTGTTTTAATATGCTTGATAGCTAATTAGATTTAGTAATAAACTATGAATATGGAATAAAAATCTATTTTTTATTGATAATGTTTATCCAATTTTAGTGAAAAATGAAAAAAAAAAATATTGTTGTTGGGTAGTTCACGTGATAATCAGATTAATTGAGCAATAATGGCGAGATATACTGTGATTTTTTTTTCTTTTTTAGGTCAAAAAATAATAGCCTTTCGGCCTAATTTGAACATCCATTCATGAGCGGGGAAGGTTCAGTTTTGTAGAAAAATAACATATTTAAGGAAATCACATAAAGTCTAATAATTTATGGTCTGCCTAAAGAAGATAGACCACTTGTTCTTAAATAAAAAGGGACATTTACATAAATACGACTCAATTCCTGTACATTTACATATCTAACATAAAGTTTGCTTTTTTACATTTCTACCAACCAAATCTTTCTTATCTCATAAAAATTATCATTAGTTTAACTTTAACACATTGAAATGCACATTTTCATGCATAGGTCAACGTAACACATGTAAGAAAGAATTAAAGTTTAGATGTTGTATTTGTAAATACATAATAATTAAGTGATATGCATGTAGAAATGGATCATTCCAAATTGGAGGGAGTACCCAACGAGAAACCACCAATCAATATAACTTTTTTCGGTCGAGACGAGTTGTTGCACCGAGCTAGTTCAATCTGTGTGTAAAAATTGGAACTTTAAATGTTAGATATGTAAATACATAGGAATCGAGTGGTATGTATGTAAATCTTTCATATGTATAATGTATTTATATAAATATATGTGTGAAGTTGGTGAAAAATATTGGTGTCAACTTGTCATTTAAATATGAAATTTAGGAGGCAACCATGGAAGCGGGGACACCTTTTATTGCATATTCTAAACGTGTCTTGTGGGATACAAATTCTCTCTTTCCTTTTAGTATTAGGGCGAGCTTATTCTCAACTACCACAAATAGACTACTATATAGTTGGAAAAAAAATATATTTGCAACCACTAAGATAACTAAAATGAGATAAATAAGATAAATTATTTATGAAATTATCGTTTAGTTGACATATTTATAAAATATTGCGTGAAATAAAAATAATGCATTTCAATGTTAAAATTACTGTGTCGGCGACGATGGTAGAGGGGACGATGGCTGGCGGCGGCGGCAGCGGCAGGGGGCGTGTGCCGCTTGGGGCGGCCGCAGTTTACATTGAGGTGTGAGATGTGAATTTGAAAGTCGGTCATATGGATTAATTTCTAACATATGGATTAATTTCAAAATATGGGGACTAATAATTGAATTTCAAATACATTACTAATTTACAATGAATTTCAAATTTTTCTAAACAAAAATTAAAAATTTTGAACTCCTTGCATTAGGAATGCAATGCATGGGTAATGCTCGTCACCAAACAACCCCTTAAGCCAAAAAGTTGCGATGAAAAGTGATACGTCACCAACAAATTTTACTCATCCGACACGAATCTCGATGCAATCTTTTGAGCAAGAAACGTTCAAAATCTTGATAAAAAGTCATATAGAGCTTCGATTTCAGCACACTTATAGTTAAACTGACCGGCTCGATAATACCAACCGAACGATATAAAAATTATTCCGATCCGAGTCAAATCAAGCTCAGATCATGTCATTAAACTACAATGGGAAGATTTCCGGACACATTTGGATAGTCAAACAAATGCCGACATTAGCAAGTTCATGGTCGGATCGAGCGTCTTGACAAGACGAATCCAATGAGTTCAAGATCACTCAATTCTGACATCAAGCATCCAAATGTTCATTAAACACAATCTGATTAAAGGAAACTCTCTGGACTATCCGATCAAAATGGTTCATATTCTTGCATTAATAACATACAGAATACTATAAATAGACCCCCCACCCCTAACATAAAAAAAAAGCTGAAGCCTAGAGAGAGTTTCAGGTCTTCAAGAGAAGTTGCAGCTTAGCCAACCACTGACCGCTAACGACAACCGCAGACCGTCGACGACTCATGCCGACCTCCATCGTTCACCGTCTACCGTCGTCGAACACCACCGACCTCCGTTGACCTTTGTCAACCGTGGTCGACCACCGCTAACCGCCATAGATAACCACTAACCAGACACTGTCAATTAAATCTATAGTCTGAAAAATATTGTTACTCTCTCTCGTCTATGAGACAGAATTTTTGTAATCATCAATCAATAGTAAATTTTTGCAACTGGGCCAGACCCCTTGGTTTTTCCATTTACGGGTTTTCCACTTCAAAATTTATGGAATCGTCACTGCTTGTTTCTCTTTCATTTGTGTGTGTAATGAATTCTCGTACAACACAAACATAATAATCTGTTACTCAACCGTCGCGAATTTTCCAGTACACATAAAAAAATATTGAAATCTTAATGGTTGTAAATTAGGAAGTGTTAAGTGTGTATATTATGAAGAATAATATTATGTAACTTAATTTGTGGAGATCTAATTATATGATTTTTTGTATTATGAAAGTTAATTTGAGGAGATCTACAAGTATGACCTTTCCCATATTTTGAAATATTCCTAATGTGTGTACCATAACCCTCTCTCATATATATGAGGGATTATGGATGAATTAGGTGTGTCAACTTGTTGATAATGGAATAGCCTCTCCCTGTGGACATAGACGAGTTTGCCGAACCAGATAAGTTGCACATTATTTAGTTGTTTCATTGTTGTGTAAATTTGTTTTCCATATTGTTTTGTACACAATTTGTATTAGAGCCACATGCGACTCCGAACGACGAGCAGCTGCAATTCTTGCAAAGTCATGAACTCAAGACGGAAATTGAAGTAAGTTGGACTCTAGTGGAGCCATAGATAATAATGTCCCCGAGCACTTTAACATCCACCACGACTGTGGTAAAAAATGTCAAACTCATCGAAACAAGCCAAACACAAGTCAACCCAAACTCAACTCTTTTGCTCGTGAGTCAACCCATTTAAGAAAATATTAATATAAAGTATTTTCAAAAAATATTAAATTTCAAAACTATATATTTAAATTATTATAAATGTCAAAATAATGATATATTTTATTTTATATCAAGTGATTTCCTTATTATTTATTTCATAATTGTTCATTTTTTATCATTTTATTATAACACTAGCTTAAATTAATTTTTTTATTCTTTTTTATGATAAAAAAGTCAGCGCATGAGACGGCTCAAATTCTTAGAATTAAGCTTGAGCTCGAATTTGACTCGATGCATTTATCCCACTAACGTCGACTTAAAAGTTTCTATTGAGTTATAAAGTGGCTTGCATTCTAACGTGGTGCTCGTAGAGGCCTTAAAAATCAAGAATTAAATAACCAAAATAATTTTATTTAATTAATGTAGACGAGTTGTGTTACTAAATGCTTTCCAAAATGTCTTGTATAGCTCTTCCAAAATTCAATTGAAAGTAGTTATGTAAAACTTATCATTATTATTGAGGAAGCTCAAGATGAATCAAATAAGAACTAAAGATAATTGCATTAAGATTTATTGATAAAAATAAAATTATAAATGAGCAACTCTATAATATAATTCATGTTGAAGTTGTAAATGCATCAAGTGTATTATATAAAATTTGTGATGTTCTTTATCATCATAACCATGATACTCTTGATGTTTGAAGTTTATAGAATGATGGTGCAAGTAACATATAGGACGAGTGGAATGAGATGTGTTTGATCTTGATTTGTTTTTAGTTCCCACCATCAAAGAAAGAATATAATCGGATGATGAGTTCAAACAACAACAAGAAGAAGAAGCTTCTATTCCACTAAGTGGAGTCGGCTACATCAATCCTTTTTCTCCATTGTGCCCTATTGAGTGTCATATTTTCATTATACACTAATAAATTAAGATCATTATTTATACAATATGCCTCTAGTCTTTTTATGTCTACCTCTGCTTTTCCTAACTTAAGTCAAATCTAAAACTTCTACTCTCTTAATTTGACCATCAGATGGTCGACGTTTAATGAGACTAAACAATCTAAGACGACTCTATCTAATCTTGGTTGCTACTGAAGCTACACCAACTATTTCACTGATACATTCGTTTAATATTTTGACTCTAAGTGTCAAGCCACTCATCCAACTAGGCAATCTCATCTTAATAACAATTAACTTAGTTTTTCTTCTCTTTTACAGACCAACATAATGCGCCATAAAGCTTGCAGATCTCATCACCATCTTATAAAAATTTCCTTAAGTTTAAGCGGCATTTTTCTATCACACAATAGGACCGATGCTTTCCTCTAATTTAGCCAACAAACATGAATTCTATTAGTAACATCCACATCTATATTTCCATCACTTTGAACAAGAGACCCAAGAATACTAAAACGATCACACTTTTTAATGATATGATCACCCATAGTTACAACTTTAACACTAGATTTACTGCTACTATAATTACATTCCATGTATTTAGTTTTAGATCTACTCAAATTAAGGCCTTTAGGCTCAAATTTTGACCTCCATAA